TGGTCTGCTGTTGTTGTGTATTTTGATTGTGGGCATCCATGCTTCAGGAATTTCAATTCCACTATCCCTGTTCAGTGCTGGAAATAATTTTTCTTCTTTAACAGGACATGTGTCCTTTCAAATCTCTCATTTTGGTCAGACATCTTATCAATTTGACCGGACATTAATTAGCATAATTGATTAGCATAATTAATTAGCATTAGAAAATTTATTAGCATACTGTAAAGATTTTCAATACAAATCATTCAAAACTGCATTTAAATTTGATTTATCTATCATTTATGATTAACTAGTTGACTTAATCTACTAGACGACTTCACCGATCTCTCCTGGTTATCTCCTGGTTATGTGTTTATCAAGCAAACCTAGTTTTCTACTGAAGACCATCACTAGGAGTGTGCAACTACCCCAATTATTCCTGTCCTGGCGTTTTTACAGACCCGTCTATTTTTAGTTTGAATTTACCGCAAATTCAGATCCCCGCAGGAACCTCAGTGACTAATCACAAGCACAGACTTTATAATTTCACTGGAAGATTAGGTCGACATGTCCACCTAAGGCTGCCATTTTTTCCTTACCGATGCGGATTCATGTGGACCGGAAAAGACCTTTTTCGTGGGAAAAGAAGCCTAAAAATAGAATGGTCTGTAAAAATAACGTGACATAAGCTTACTATGGGAGTTGCAGGCTCCTGACCAAAGTTTACTCTAGGGTACATACATGAAGTGCTAACAGCATATTGCAATACATGTAATGCATAATAGGGTGATTTCTGAAGAGTACTTTATTTGGCAAGTACAGGAAAGATGAACGCTTCTGCTTTATGATATGGCAGGAGTCCATAATGGGCTCCAGGATATGGCTCAAACTGTCAGAGTCAAGGGCCCAAAATTAAAAAAATTCTTGAGTCGCCATTTGGCGACTGTGATAAAAATCAAGTAGGAATTTTATTCAGAAAAGAAATCAATGCATAAAATCTGTTAAGAAAAAATTTCCAAGACTTTTATGGCCACTAATTTTGTGTACGTAGCTAATGTAATGTCTATGAAGGATTCGTGAAGTACAACAGACACAATCGGTAGGCATGCCTGACGTACTCAATGCGCAAGGGTTTGCCATGTATTATAGGGCGATTTCAAACACGATCGTCCATTTGCAAGTTTTCCGATATGAGGGAATTCTTTACAGCAAAGCAAAAGGATAGATTGCTTTCTTTTCTTATGTTGAATGTTATAGAAGCAAAGATCTTTAACTATGTATTTCTGGAAGGACATAATGTCTGAGAAAATAACCGTTATTGATCGTCAACACAGAGAAACAAAGTCGCCATTATGGTAGCCTGTGAACACAGACGTATTTTCAGCTGTTGACTAAACTAGCATATTTGGTCGCCAAAGGTGAAATTTTAGCCGCATTGGCGACCGTACTGGTCACAATTTCGAGCCTTTTAACAATGTATCTAACTAAATTTTATGGATGGACAACAACTTGGTGTTGGTGAAATGTTCGGACATCATGTCCGACCATAACGTGAAATTAGCCGGACATATTCAAAATTTGGTCGGACAATATCCAATGACCGACTGTTATTTCCAGCCCTGCCTGATGATGTTATTAGGGTGAAGTCTTATGTGAATAGCTTCCTTGACCCTATGTGTGTACCAGTGAGGATCTCGNCTCAAACTGTCAGAGTCAAGGGCCCAAAATTAAAAAAATTCTTGAGTGGCCATTTGGCGACTGTGATAAAAATCAAGTAGGAATTTTATTCAGAAAAGAACTCAATGCATAAAATCTGTTAAGAAAAAATTTCCAAGACTTTTATGGCCACTAATTTTGTGTACATAGCTAATGTAATGTCTATGAAGGATTCGTGAAGTACAAGAGACACAATCGGTAGGCATACCTGACGTACTCAATGCTCAAGGGTTTGCCATGTATTATCGGGCGATTTCAAACACGATCGGCCATTTGCAAGTTTTCCGATATGAGGGAATTCTTTACAGCAAAGCAAAAGGATAGATTGCTTTCTTTTCTTATGTTGAGTGTTATAGAAGCAAAGATCTTTAACTATGTATTTCTGGAAGGACATAATGTCTGAGAAAATAACCGTTGTTGATCGTCAACACAGAGAAACAAAGTCGCCATTATGGTAGCCTGTGAACGCAGACGTATTTTCGGCTGTTGACTAAACTAGCATATTTGGTCACCACAGGTGAAATTTTAGCCGCATTGGCGACCGTACCGGTCACAATTTTGAGCCTTTTAACAATGTATCTAACTAAATTTTATGGATGGACAACAACTTGGTGTTGGTGAAATGTTCGGACATCATGTCCGACCATAACGTGAAATTAGCCGGACATATTCAAAATTTGGTCGGACAATATCCGATGACCGACTGTTATTTCCAGCCCTGCCTGATGATGTTATTAGGGTGAATTCTTATGTGAATAGCTTCCTTGACCCTATGTGTGTACCAGTGAGGATCTCGATCAATAAACTTGACCTCATTTCAGATAGGATAGTGGCCAGTCTCGTGGGTGTGTTCAGAAACGGCAGAGGTCTGAATACGGGTGAGTCGTATATCCCTGTCGTGTTCTTTGACCCTCTCCTGCATAGATCTCCCTGTTTCCCCAATGTAGACTTTGCCGCACTTACAGGGAATCCTGTAGACAACACCATCTTGTTTAGCTGGGATGACGGTGTCCTTTGGTCGCACTAAGTGTGACCAAAGTGTCGTGTCGGACTTAAAGAGGGTGCGAATGCCTTGTTGTTCTAGGCAGCGACGGAGAGACTTTGAAACTCCTTGGACATAAGGTAAAATAGCAGTGGATTTCAATTCCGTGACAGGCTCTCTTCTCGGGGTTGTCCGTGCCTTTGTGATCTTCTGTACAAAAGAGGAGGGATATCCGTTAGAAACAAGTACAGATGACAAATGTTTTCTTGGATTCTGCAACAGTAAGTAACCAGTGCAATAGGTTCCAACCTCTGTAAGTTACAATATCTGGCAATTTCAAATTTTCTCCATAATATAGTCCAGTTTTAGCATTCTCTTCAACTTTACTTCCCTGATATCACCCAATAAGAATCTATAGCTCATAATTTATTATTGTTTATGTAATAGGTCAAATTATTCTTGCATTTCGATTGCTTCTTACTTTAAGTGATCTATGATTGGAGGACAGACACATAGATGACATCATAAATTCTTTGTTATACAAAACAAGTAGTAAATACAGCAAAGTAACAGCGATTTTCAAAAAGGAAGCAACATTTTGCATTTTACAAAACATGTCTTGACATTCCTATGTCATCTTCAGTTTCAAATGTTCGTCGCTTGTACATTTGAATGTTCACTGTATACAAAATTATGTTGTAGAATTACGCCATAAATTTTACATGAACAATTTGAATATTGGAATACACTGGAAACAAAGAATAGCAACTGCAGTTGGAACAGAATCAAAAACACTAAATATATAAAAGTATATATACCAGTAGATTCCATGTTGCTGTGCATCTGTTCAATAATAGATCACAGAAGACATCAAAATGTGGTAAGAACATCAGGGACACATTCTGCTATCGCCTCATGTGCCACTTTTTTGTTCTTACTGCATTTTGTTGTTATCTGTGATCAATTACTGAACAGATGCATGGCAGCATGGAATCTATTTGTTAAATAGAAATTATTTTTAACCAATCAGCATGCATATTTTCTTTGGGCTATTTTCTGAAAAGCTGTACAGTACAGAGCAAGAAGCCAAAGCGCAATGCATCCTGGTGCATAGTAGATGTATGACGGACAAGACTGATCTGTTTACATTATTTCGTTCGTCTTGCTTTGTCTTTGTTTGCATTTTCTATGTATGCAAAGTGATGTAAAATGAATTCTTGTTTCTTGGTCATGGGTTGAAAGGATANAAGTATATATACCAGTAGATTCCATGTTGCTGTACATCTGTTCAATAATAGATCACAGAAGACATCAAAATGTGGTAAGAACATCAGGGACACATTCTGCTATCGCCTCATGTGCCACTTATTTGTTCTTACCGCATTTTGTCGTCATCTGTGATCAATTACTGAACAGATGCATGACAGCATGGAATCTATTTGTTAAATAATAATTATTTTTAACCAATCAGCATGCATATTTTCTTTGGACTATTTTCTGAAAAGCTGTACAGTGCACAACAAGCAAGCCAAAGCACAATGCATCCTGGTGTATAGCAGATGTATGACGGACAAGACTGATCTGTTTACATTATTTTGTTCGTCTTGCTTTGTGGTTGTTTGCATTTGCTATGTATGCAAAGTGATGTAAAATGAATTTCTTGGTCATGGGTTGAAAGGATAGATAAGATGTCAACCACTCTCTAAAGGTTGGCACATAGGTGGAAACATACCAACCTTAATAACCTTGTGTCTTGTTGTTATATAACATTGTGATGTTTGTTTTATCAACAGCTCAATGTCTCTCCAATAACAGCCAATAAGAAACTTTGTGTTATTCCTACTACGAAAAACTCCACAGACCTAAAAAGGGTTAGTATTATAATGGCATTGGAATGTTATAACTCTTATTACAAAGGTCTGGAGCTTGGTATCCTGTAGTGGTTTGCAACTGACCTTGTTTTCTTGGGCAAAGTGGATAGAGCAAAACTGTGGAAATGCTGGGGCGGTAACCTGCAGTGGACTAGCATGCCATCCAGGGGTTAGTAATTAATGTTACTGCTAGCTGTGTTATGCTACCAGTTTCAGAGTTAAGCACCTTACCTTAAAGTTACTAGGTTGGTGTATTCACTAATGCCCATTTGAGAGTGTTTTCATTCTGTTGAAGGTGTGCAGCCACTTGACACTCTAACCTCATGTTTCTCTGTTGTTATTGTAGAGTGTTTGCCAAGGATTGGGTTCAAATGAAACACCTGACATAACTCCTGATACCATCCCTAAGAAAGTATGTATATCGGTTTTCTTACTTTTTAATATTCTCTGTTGTAGTAAAATAGTGACCAGTCATTTTTTTTAGTTCACTCTTATGTAGATAACATTAGGTAAAACTGAATAAGGGTACATGCTAGGGTGCATTTAGATAGACATTTGTTGCTACAGCTCGTAGTTACACTCCCTGTATATTAAGTTTTTGCTCTTTATGTACCAGTGTTGTTTTTATTCTTGGTTTTTGTCTATAGTGGGTAACAAGAATCCTGTGAACTCAATTCATCCTAAGCAAGAGCCTGAAAAAAGATCAGAAATAGTGACATAGTTAAACAGAGATGGATGTATGATATCTTGGATTAGTTACTGAAGCAAAAATTGAAATCTAATCACATGATGCAGGTCTCTGTAGCATGAAATTTTCAGCCAACTCAAAAGTGTCTCAATTAAGGGAAGAATCGGAACACCAAAATAGACATCTGTTTACTTGCTCAACTGCTTGGTAAGTGCACTGAATGGAGAACAATGGCCAACCCCCTCTATGAGAACAATGGCTGCCAATTCCCTCCATGAGATGCACCTGCAGGGAATCATGGTAGCTGTATTCATCAAAACAAATATCCAGTCCAAGATGATGAATACAACTACCATGATTCCCTGCAGGCACATCTCTTATAAGCAATTGGACATTCAGCAAGTGATTGGGCAAGGAATTTTCAGAACACAATAACAAGGACGATTTCAAATTTCAATTAATTGGACACCTTCAAAGACACCTTCACCTTTCCAAAGTTAATCTTGTTTGTTTGTCTGTCATCCCTAACAAAAAAATACCCTGGAGACATATCTGTTTGTAATGAAGCTATGGTTTTGTCATTGAGATCCATAGAAGTAATTTCTTCATCAACATTAAGTTTCAAAGTGAGTGTTTAGCAAAACTTCATAAAATATAGACTAAACTCAGCTCTGACACAGTCCCTTTAATAGTGCTTTCTCTTTTTCTGTTAAAGGATTTCACTACTGGAACAGCTGAACCCAAACAAAAGAGGAAGTTGGCATACTCTGTGGATATCATTAAAGGACCAGACTGCATTCTGCTGGATATAATAAATAACAAAAAGCAACCAGCTAAACTTCTTTTTAAACACGATAAAAACTCGTGGTGTCACAGTAAGCCTTGGTCAAGTTTACCAGTTGATATACTTATTCATCTTTCATGATTTAATTTTAACTCTTCAGCTTGTGGATTTTTTCATAACCATGAATTCAAAGGACAAAATAACTTGAAAGAATTATTCAAAATGAGCAGAAAATTACTTGTTGTTTGCAAAATATTTATAATATATTGAAATAAAACTGAATATTGTTTCAGGGTTGCTTGAGCTATTGTAGCCACCTCTTGATCAGAGTTGGCACTTCTTTTCCAACCAGAATTTTTCAACCTTTGTTTTTCTTGTGAACAACATTTTTTCCCCACCACTGTTGCAGCGCAGGCATTCTTGGGTGGGGAGAGGGAATTGCACCACCACCCTGCCCCGACCCTGCCCCCCACCCCACCTCCCAAAAAATATAAATAAAATTGTGCAAGGTCAAATCTTGAAATGATTTTCATCATTATGAGAGAGGACACCACATCCATCACTGGAAACGAAACAAAATAAAATTGTCCATCCCTGAAAAACAAGATCAGATGATTGAGATCGTTATAAGAACAACACACCACTGTTTTTTAGTCTAGTCATTGTCTTGGGTTCATTTAAGTTCATAGTGATTTTCCTTCAGTTGATTATTTTCATTTTCTCCTACATGAATCTTAGTTGAGAACCCTTCTTACTGTAAACCACTTACACCACCAAATAGCAAAATAAATAAATTGTTCATCCCTGAGATCTAAGGCCAAATAATTGTAATCATTATGAGCTCAAGAAAAGTTTACATAATTTACATTTTTATTACTTAATGCACCAAAACAGCAGACTACATTGTAGTCCTTTTCTTTGACACCAAGAAAAAGCAAAGTTTTAAATCAACCAAAATAACACCCAAAAAAATGAGTTATTTACAGTTTACTTAAATAAACTGGATTAAACTGGATTTCTTGAGAAAATTGGTAGCTGGTCACAGTTAACCACAATTCCTTGAGGAATGTCAGATTTCAATCAAACATTTTGATACCAAAAGACTGCTGTACTATATCAGTATACAATTTTCTGCATTTTTTCTAATAATTTACTTGAAAGTGAAGGAAACAAATATTATCTAAGTTGGGATGAATAATGTTTAAAATGTTTGCAAATTAGATTGCTGGCAGGGGTAAGAGAGAATAAGTATGCAACAGAACCATAGTATGAGGCAAACCAAGGCGCTTGCCTTAGTCATTGTTTTTGTTTCTGTTGTTTCTTTTTTGAAGGGGAAAGTAGACCACTGCTAAATAACTAAGAAGAGAATTTAACCATGGACCATGCCTCAGCCATATTTTTTTTTT